AATTTCACTTGACATTGTAGGCCCTCTACGTCCAGGATGTCATAGCTTCTACTAACAACACTCGGCGCCAGTCAAAGTTCTTTCTAACAGTAAACAAATCCATGTTTAACCCTCCTCTTCAGGGCTAAAAGGTTATCTTACAACTTTACCTTTGCAGAGTCAAGTGGAAAGCCACATTTTGATGTGTCCTTTCATATGAAAGCCCATAAACAAGTCTAGAGTCAACCGCTGAAACAAAAAATTTTCCATCCTCCGTCAGAGCCATGGTCCTCAGAAAATGTCAATAAAATCTTGCTACTCGCCCGAAGTTTTGACCTTTGACTGTGACTCCCCGAATGTTCGGCACAGTGCATGGCTTTTCCTATCCATGATGCCTTATAGCACTGACTAATCACGAGCTAGGTCAAGCCCTTAGATTTGGTGTCGGCAATTCTGCATTTCCTCCCTATACCTTAAGTTAAGAGGTGGAATGTTCCCCCTTCTTTACACCTCTTGACCTTTGACCCCCACAGCTTTGACATCCCAACTCAATTTCGGAATGTACGCCCGCCCCACGTCCCCGAATTATCCGTAGACCGAAGTCGAGCGGTTACATTTTGGCTCAAACTGTTCGACGACGGCACGAACGCCGACGGACGGGACAACATGCGATTACTACAAGCCTGCACCTATGCACTACGTCAGATAAGCTAATAATAAATTCACCTCAATAATCATAATCAATGAATAATGGTAATAATCAATTGAGCCTCCCCGATGCGCTGGGTCCGTGATCCCAACACTCACACCGCCGTTTCCGCGCAGCGATTTTCGACACCGGCACACATGTGGGTAACACCACTCGTTTTTCCGAAGATTTCGCAGCCTTAAAATAGCTAAAGTTATGGAACCGCCGCTAATATTACTGAGTACGCCCTACGCTGCCAACTGACGAGACACGCCAGGACGCAGGTAGGACGGGTCTGGACATCACGCTGGAACAAACAGGGAAATAACACTCAGCTACCCACACCGCTCCAGCCTAACCCACACACAGTTCGGGCTAAAGAAATTGGACCGCATTTGATTCGGAAGTTAAGTCTAAAGGTATATCATTTAACCTTATTAAAAATTAAATGCTGCCCAACCCACAGGATCCGGGCACATGATCCCCACGTACACCGTGACATTATACATCTCTATTGCTGTCTATGCAAACTGGAGTGCAATCGCCACTTGAAACACACCACCCACACTCACACCCACTACGGCAAAGCACGGCACTGCACGCGAAGAGAACAACACATAATACATATATAAAACACACACACACTCACGCCGCATAGCACGCACCCGCGCACACACAGACACGCACGCACGAACACGGCAACCGACATACACAACAGAAACTGGGAGTTTCTTGTGTAAAGAACACATTATAACTCATTGTCTCAAGTACAAACCGGAGAATATGCAAGTGAACCTCAACTGTGTCTTAAACATACAGGTCCGACACCCCATCATCTCCAAACTCAACCACTTCCGAACTTCAAATAACCAGTAAAGGTTTCATTTCTGAGTATATCATCAACAGCGTAACCCCATGATATACCCTCGCTACCCCCCGCGTCCACACTACGACGCTCCGATAATCACATCAGCGAAACATTTCCCCCACGAGTTTTCAAGTCTCTTCTCTAGCCAATAATCCAAGGCCTAAATTCGAGCACCTCGTTATTGAGTCAACAGATCTATGGCAAGGATACATCCTGACTTGTCCATTATGCGACGTACGAGCTAAGCGAGCTTAAGCCATTGGGCGTCATCAGGCTGCCATCGCCGCTCGGTCCGATGCGGGAACCATGGCGCCGCCGCGTCTGAAACACGTAACAGCTGTATGTCGCGGACATCTAGCCGTCACTTGGATACTAAACCCTTAACACGCAGCATTCCTTAGACAGCATTCATCAATCACTCGGCAATGTGCCATGAACACGGTTAACCAAGAGCACAAACAGCCAAGAATACTCAGTACTTAGAAGTCATAACGCTAGAATACAAATGATATATAATTATAAGAGTAAAGAGCTAATAATAGATAATATTTAATATAATATATATATATATAATATATATATTACCATATATATATATATTATATAGTCTATATATATTATATATGTAATGTATTGTTAGCTCTTGATAAAGTATACACATAAGTGCGGAATGAGAAACGTTGTTAACTCTCATGGCCACACCCCTTACCCAGACAAAGAATAATAGATTAGGTGACTAATGACAGTGAAACACGTTTGTAATTGCGTGTAAACCAGAGCATTGCTTTCATGGCCAGTACACGCATGCTCGTTGGCGAACATGCTGCGAGTACGCTAAAAGAAACGATGCTTTTTCAGCTAACTGACTCTCTCTCTGTATGCAATAAAATCTCCCAGCTGTTGCATGAGCATGATGTCTGCACGAGCGTCCATTTCCAGCCACAACCATTGTTATTGTTAAG